AACTCAGGCAGGAAGTAAGCAAGGAGACTCTGGAAATGTTCAAAACAAGAAGGGCCATTTTAACCGCTAATCCCATGTGCCCTCACATGATTAAATTATAAGGCATATTTTAAAAGTTGGATCAGGATTAGAATCTCAGCTCTGATTCTTACTATGTGTGACTTTGGACAAATTATTTCACCTCTCTGAACCTCAATTTCATTATTATGTGAGATGACTAAATGAGATGACAATATAAAGGTGACCATCATCTACTGGTACTCAACAAACATTAACTTCCTATCTGTTGCCTTCCCAGGGATCTATTTATGTCCTTGCTATACTGAGATAAGTGTTGGTCTGTGCACAAACTTTAAAAATAGAAGTACCTTAGTCACACAATTATGGCCAGGATGTGAATCAATCCATCTGCCTAGGAGTTTTAGGATAACCTAAATGGTACAGACACTTTCAAAGAATAGTTCAGAAATTTCTTATACACATACACTTACCACACAACCCAGGAATTCTATTCCTAGGTACTTATCCCAAGTAAAATGGAAACTTATGTTCACACACAAACTTGTAAGCAAATGTTTTAGCAGCTAATACAAAACAGTTAAGAACTAGAAACTTTTCTTTCAACTGGTGAATGGATAAACTGTGAAATTCCCAGTTTATCCATTCACCAATTGAAAGACTAGAATTCTACTCAGCAATAAAAAGGTACAAACTACTAATATATGCAACAACCCAAAATCTCAAATGCAACATGGACTGTGTTAAATGAAAGAAGTCAGATCAAAAGCTACATAATATTATGTATCATTAATGACATTCTGGACACTTCCTGGATAGAAAACAGATTAGGGACAGAGGTTCAATGCAAAGGGACATAGGGACTTTTTTTTTAGGAGTGTGTGTGTGTGGGGGGGGGGGGGGGAGGGTGATACAAATGTTTCATATCTTGAATGTGGTGCAGTTGTCAAAACTCATAAGCTGTACATTGAAAGCATTTAATTTTACTGTAATTAGATGTATATTAATTTTTTTCATGGGAGCAAAAAAAGGGTCAACAGCTGAAGAAGAGTTCCAGAGATTCTAAGAATTTTAGCTTAGGCAGTTCTGAGGATGATGGATAAAGGCTACTTGAGTCATGTAGCCTTTCCATGTAGCCAAGGAAAGGCTACATAACTCAAGTCGAAGCCACAGAGGGAATGCAGCCACCGGGAGAAGTGCAGAAGCACGCACTGTCACCACCCTTCACTGCTCTTTCCCACCCTCTCTGTGACTGTCCCAGGCCTGGCCCAGCACCCTCATAACTGTCCACTGGACCAAGGCACTTAGGGGATTTGGAGAGAGCCAGACTCGCAACAGAGCCCTACTTCTGTCAACTGAACATGCATCAAATCCAACATCTTGAAACAGAAATTCTACTGGAAGATTTTCCAGATGTTAAGATTTAATACATGTTAGGCTGACATAAGTTGTAACATTCCAATATACTCAAGAACTTAAAAAAAAAAAAAAGTTATTTTAAGTGGCTTTCAATGTGAAAAAAAAGATACCTAATCTTTCTGAAAAGATTATTTTATGAGATTTGAACTGTAGAGATCTAAAAAATGCAAATATAGAAACTTCTTCTTCATTTTGGCTCTCAGGTTATTTATTTTAAGGAGGCTAAAAGAAAATTAAGACATCTCTGACTCAGTGTCATAATGACTTTTAATCAGACTTTTAGAAATGAGTGAAAATCAGGCCATATCCAAGGTCAGAACTGGTTCACTATTTTGCTCCTTATACCCAGCCCCTTCCTCACAAATTTTAATGAGAGAGATATTTACTAAGCATGGATGTCAAGCAATGAGTTAGGTACTTTACACTCATTCTAACAACTCTAAAAAGGTAGGTATTTTCATCCTTAGCACATTAAAAAAAAACTGAAGCTCAGAAAAGATAAGCAACTAACTTAGTCACACACACAGCAAACTTCAGAACAACAATTCCAACCAGATCTGAGACCAGACTACTCATCTTCTTTCTATATTGTGCAATTCTCAGATCAACATATATACCCACAGTCTGAATATATACCCACAACTCTGAATCCCACAAATCACAAGTGGTCCACTCTAAAAGACCAACAACCATAGTGGCAAAAAATGTCAGGGAGGGGCAATGATGAATTATTAACCTATTAATATTTGTGTTAGATTCTCATATCCTATATACTAAAAGGCTAATATGCAAATTGACCGAACAGCGGAACAAAGGGTCGATATGACGCGCAATGATCACCAGGGGGCAGATGCTCAATGCAGGAGCTGCCCCGATGGTCAGTGTGCTCCCACAGAGGGGGCTCCGCTCAGCCAGAAGCCCTGAGCGCATGTCTAGTGAGCGCACTGGAGGTGGCAGGAGCCTCTCTCACCTCCGAGGCAGTTGGACATCCCCAGAGGGCACCGGGACTGCTAGAGGACACAGGGTGGGGAAGAGATCTTCCCCCCAACCCCAAGTGCATGTCTGATAAAGGGGTAGGGGGATGTCTGGTGAAGGTATTCAGTGGCATAGGGGTGGGGGGAAGGGGATCATTTAAAATGACATAGGAGGATCAGAGGAGGCAACCAAAATGACACAGGAGGATCAAAAGGGGTTACTAAAATGGTAATCCCCCCTCTGATTCTCCTGTGCCATTTTGATTCCCCCATCTGATCCCCTCTGTGTCATTTTAAGTGATCCCCCTACCCCCACCTTGATACATGAGAGATTTGGTCCACTGATTCTGAAAGAAATGGAGTCACAAGAAATTCACCAAGGAATTTAGGAATTTATTGTTATGATGATGTTCCAGAAGATGATGACATGATTGTCATTGAATAAATGAGTAAATTCTTGATACTGTAGGATTCACAGTTTGTCTGGTTTGTGTTGACAACTACCGTACTACCGTACCGTATACAGGCAATAAATTTCCTTTATTTTCATTTAAAAATAAATGTGTACCGTATTCTTCTTCATAGAAAAATAAAACATCCCCTGAAAATAAGACCTAGTGCATCTTTGGGAGCAAAAATTAATATAAGACACTGTCTTATTTTTGGGGCAACAGGGTATTATCATTTGTTTACATTTAAAGAGATTAAAGCTCAGAGAGGTTATGTAATTAGCCGCAAATGAGAAAGATGATACTATCATATTTTAAGCGAGAACTTCATAATTCTCAAAGTGCTTTTTCACCAATTCAAATAGAATTCAAAGAGCAAATACTTATTAAGCAACAACCAGGATTCATTCTAAGAGCTTGAGAAATGTGAGTGAAAAATATAGGCAGAGAGCCTTCCCTTCTAGCAGGGAAGACAGAAAATAGGCAATAAATATAATTAAGCCAATTATATAGTATATTAGAAAGAAAACAAGTGCTCTGGAAAAAAGTAATCAAAAAAGCAGAATAAGATGATTTGGAAGAATCAAAAGAGGAAGAGCAGACTGCAATTTTAAAAATTAATTAATTAATTTTACTTTTTTATTGAATGTACTGGGATGGCACTGTTTTAATAAAATTATATAGGTTTCAGGCTTACAATTCTGTAACACATCATCTGTATATTGTATTGTGTGTTCAAGTCTCCTTCCATCTCCTTCACCATTTATTCCCCCTACAGCCTCTTTTCCCTCCTCCGATAGCCCCATAGGTTATAATTTTAAATGAGGTGGTCAGGGTAGACTTCCTTGAGACGATAACTTAGCCATGCAAGTATCTGGCAGTACAACGTTCCAGGCAGAGGAGATAGCCTGTACTAAGACCCTAAAGTGGGAGCATGTCCAGTGTTCTAAAGCAGCGGTCGCCAAACGGTGGTCCATGGACAACTGGTGGTCCATGAGTCTGAAAGGTCAGCGGACACTGTTCTAAAGGAATAGGAAGGACCCACTGTGGGTGAAATAGAGTGAGGGAGAAAAGAAAAGCAGGAGCTGACACCGGAGAGGCAAAGGAGGTAGATTTTCTAGGGCCTTGTCAGCACTTTGGGACACGGAGAGCCTGAGGCGGGGGATTAAAAAAAAAAAAAAAAAAAGTGACATGTTCTGTCTTACTTGTTACAAGGAATACACTATCTATTCTGTTAAGGATTGCAGGGTTTGGAGTGGACAAGCGATTGAGGGATGGGGTAGACAAGAAAGGAATCCAACCAGGGACAAATATAGAAATTAGACAGTAATTTAGACAAGAGATATTGGTGTCTTAGATGATCAACAATGCAGACAGTGAGAAGTAGTCCTTTTCTGAAGCTATTCTGAAGGTAGAGCCAACAGAATTTGCTAACACACTAGATATTGGGTATAAGATGGAAGAGTCAAACACGACTCCAAGATTTTAAAACTGGAAGCCTAGAAGGATGGAGTCTCCATCAGCTGAGATGCAGAGGCTTTCAGTGGAAGAGACTTTGGGAAAATTAAAAGGAGGTCAGTATTGGACATGTCAGCTGGAGATGTCAAGGGGGCTGTTAAATATATAGCATGAGTTCAGGACAGAGGTCTAGCCCAAATACAAATGTAATAATTTTTAAGCACATAAATAGATTAAAAACCATGAGATTCAAAATTCTTGAGCTGAAAAAGATCTTTCATACAAGACACACTCATCATTGATGAAGATAAAGTCCAAAGAAATGCAGTGATATAGCCAAAGTCAAACACATATAATGCATTTCTAACGGAGCTGGTATTCTTAGTCTTACATTTTCTTAAGAACAGTGTACTGCCATCTGGTATACTAAGTAAAGGTCTGTTCTTCGAAGAGCTAAGTAAAAAAGAATTCAACTTCCAGAAAAGATTCCCCAACTATTACACATAAAATATGGAACCATTTTCTCTCTCTTAAAAAGCACTCTCTAAAGATTTTAAATATATAATGCATTGGAAGCACTCCATATAGGTTTGTTTAATAAATAACAAATTTGACATTAAAGAGCCCAACCTTGTTGTGACACTATTTGTCAAAGTGGTTATATATAAATATTTTTACTTACCTGATATTTAAGCCAATGAAGTTTGTCCATGTGAAAATATAATCTCCACCAAAGACCATTCCAATATAAGTTATTAATATATTCTAAAAAAAAAAAAAGCAATGCACTGTTACATAAGTTTAACTGAACTTTTTAAATATTCACATAAACGCCTCCCTGCTATGACCCAAATACCTATTCTTAAAATGCAAAAAATAAATAAACAGACAATAACAAAATTCCACCAAACCTAAAATGAGTGCAGTGTGAATAAGTATACTAACAAGGAAACAATGACATTAGCCTCTCCCCAATTTTTCCTCTACAGAGTGCTAAATGCTTTCACCAATACTAAAAAATACTAACAAGGTAATCAAACTTTCTCTGCTCTGTGGAATGGGCTGACATTATAAATCTAAACAGAGAAACTCTGCTGCTTCTAAGGGCAGAAAACACTAAGGCATACTTAGCAATCAGACAAGAACACTTTTCCTCTCGTTGAGGTAACTGTGGACTTGTGATGGGGCAGTGAAGAAGAAAAGCCTGCTAAGGTCAAGAATCTTTCCCTCTTTTTTGAGAAGGATAAAGGGGATGATGGGAGTTTACCAACATGAAGAACCTTTTTAGAGGAGTCTTAGTATTTTCAAAACACACATGGGAAGTCATCTCAAAGTAGCATACCTAAAATCACGTCGCCTGGCTCCCTTAAACTCCTAGGCATACACGTCTTCCACTTATCTGTGCTCCCCCTTTAATTAAACGCGGACCACAAAGGTGAAATAAAATTTTCCAAATGGATTCAGTTCTTCCCTAACAACCTCCATTCTTTCACATTCCTAAGTCACTTACCTCCCTCCTTGCCTTTACAACTACCATAAACTGTAAAAGTCACAAACACTGTTAGTACCTGGGTTTTCCTAGATTAGGCCTCTGAAGCAGAAAGTGCTCTACTTTAAAACGAACTTCCAAATTACTTTTATAATGGAGTGCCCTTGGAGCATTCGAAATTATGTCTGCCTCTTCTAAGTCTAAGGATAGAGAAAGTACGTTACCATAAAGCAGGTCTTTCTAATAATTTCAGGGGGTGTGAAATGCCATGGAACAGTAGGCAGCTGGGGAAAATGTGTAACAGGACCTCTCTTCAAACACAAGATCCAGAGATCCAGAGAGAGGGTGGGCTACACTGTGTAATTGCTCAAGGAACTTGAGAAAGGGAAAAGACAGAGAACCCAGGCCTCACTGAGCAAAACCAATCAGCAGGAGGTAGAAAAACTGTAAGTACAGTTAGGGCAGCCTAACACAGGTTTGCTATCAGGAAAAGATCCCAATGCCCACAAAGCAGAACTAACCAGGAAGCACAGAAGAGTCCTGTAGTTCAAGACTAACTCTCAAGTTTTAGTAATTCCTGAGAATCATCTGGGAACTGTTAAAGATGATCATTTCCAGGCTCGACTTTAGAGATTCTGACTCCATATATCCGAGGTGGGCCTAGGAATTTCCATGTTTAACTAGCTATCCTGAGTGATTTCCCCACCACACTTAAAAGAAACAAGAAATGCTGACGCAAGCATTCATGGGGTTGGGATCCTTAAGCACAGAAGACAGCTTAAAGACCCTTAGGGAACAATGACTGAGCTAAAGGGTATCCACTGAGAGGCTAAGGAAGGAAGCTCCACTGTCACTCAGGAGAGTGAAATAGCAAGGGCTTCCGTGGACTCTCATCCGCCAGAAGGTTCAAGACATCCTTCAACAGCGATACCACATGGCGGAAAGAAGCAACAGCAATTGCACACTAAACAGACAATCCAATTCTCTCCTTCCCTCTGGAGTTTGGAAGCAAAACTGATCCCTTTGGACTAAGTTCATAAGGTTCTACGCAGAGAAGGAAATAGGCAAAAGTAAAGAACTGGACTTCATGTTCATGAGAGCATGGCTATACTTGTGCCCCTTGCTGATAATGACAAAGAAAGTGCACTAAGAAATTCTAAGCAAATAGGTTTAGTTATTAAAATTAAATATAGGCTCTCCTGTACTATCCTTCTTCTTGGCTAAAAACATGGTACCAGCTGCCCTGCTCTTGCTGTTCTTATTCTGAAGATGCAAGCCATCCAACTTTGCTCTTAAAGCATTTACTTTACAAAATGGAAACAGAGCTGCAAGCACATTTGGGGGGGCGGGCAGGGAAGAGGAAGGATAGAAAAAGGGGGGGAGGGAGGGAGGGAGGAAGGGAGGAAGGACGGAGGAAGGGGAGGAGGGCAGGGCACTAAAGCCATGTCAGCCAGCCAGACCTTTGAAAGTAGATTAATTGTCTAGATTTCAATGGAATTCAAACAACTGATTGTTATAGTTCCATCTACAATTCTATTCACACCAAACACTCCAATTCCATGAAGTTTTGACCCAAATCTAATTTCTGAAATAAGGCCATGTGGACACCACTCCATTGGGGGTGCAAAGGGTAACACAGAGCAGTAAAAACTTGGCTCTGCAACCACTGCCCTCACTTTCTGACAAAAGGGGCATCATCAAGGAAGTCCCAAGGGCAACTCCACTCTTTCCCCTGTGATCTGGGATCTACCTCTCTCTGTTTTACCTTTCTCAGAAAGCAAGCCTACCTGGCTAATCCACTTAAAACTCAGGCTAGCTGGGACCACTTGGATCTTAAACCACTACGATTACGAAGTCGGGTGAAAGAGGCCTCAGGCTTCGAAGCCACTAATGTCAGCTCAGTATTTTTTTTTCCATTTTTTTTTTTATTGATTATGGTATCACATAATTTCCTCATCCCCACAATCCCATCCCAAATCCCTCCCTACATATGTCTTCTCCCCCCCCCCCCCCCCCCCCCCCGTTGTCCATGGCCACTGGCCAGGCCCATGTGCATGCACACAAGTCCTTTGGTTGATCTCTTCCCCCCCTACCCCCACCCTCCCCAAATGTCAGCTCAATATTTAAGTCAACTTGACTCTCCTGGTGAAGATAAATGAGCCTGACTCAAATAAACCGGTCAGGAGGAAATGACATCACTGGAAAAGTCAGAGGCAGCTTTTAAAAGTGGGCCATTAGGTTTGGCTGACACACAGGAAACCTCCCTTGATTAGTTCTGGCAGGCACCCTTCCCCTAAAAACAGCCAGCACTCAGCAGGCAGAGAACGGAGCAGCTCTCATCGGGGGTCAGAGACAGGCCTCTCCCTACTGAGCTCGTCAGCTGCCCCATCAGAAACAGGCCGAATTCTTCTTCCTCTTCTCTAAGATAACAGGCTCTCCTTTTCTCACGCTCCTCCTCGGAGCTAAACTGCCAGAAAGTAGAGACAACGTCCTCCCTGAGTTCTTAAAGACTATTTCCGAAACCATCACCACATTTGTCAGACTATTAAAAAAAAAAAAAAAAGAAGAAATAAGGAAAAACTATGGCTTTAAGGCCTTAGCCAGACTTATTTGAGAGGAATACTTCTCAAGTAAAGCAGGTCCCCAAAGATAACAGTATTTTTTTTTCAACTCACCTTAATACAGCCAACTATTGTAGTTGTAAGAGCGGAGTTATACTGAGTGCAGAGGACTGTGGCGTACATCAAGATAAACCTGGGATGAAGGAGGAGAGGTATCTTATGAGTAAGATCCAGGTGCTTTCTCTACAACTACTATGTCAAATTCCAGGCTCAGAACGTATGCTTTTGAGGCCCAGCCAATATAAAGGTATGTAAGAAACATTTCAATAAAAATTTAACTTAATTTTTACAATATCCTGTTACACATAATTATCAACAACGTTCACTATTGACTGGTTACTATAAACGTACACACCCTTATGTGCAGGCGCACCATTTCTCCCCACTAATACTAGCAGCAAATATTTTAGCATCCGATTGCCATGTCATTAGTCTTAGACTGACTTGTTTGGTGTGCGCAGCACGAAATATTTCGCTTTCAGAGAACAAGAAAAATAGGTTTATTTGTATTATGTTTATTAATTTGTGCAGTTATTCAGTGCCTGGTAAGTTGATGTTCAAGAAAAATTATTAATTTTTATTAAAATGTTCTATCATTTTATGTTAACAATTACTCATTTATTTCAGCCCTTTGTATTCAGCATGTCTCTCTCGAAATAAACCTACGTTTCTATGAAAATTGAAGCTTTTGTTTTTTTGCGGCCCACATAAACTTAAACCTTGTTTATTTGGCCCGTGTTGGCCTTCGAGTTTGACATGCTTGCTTTACAACAATCACTAACTGTGCAAACTCAGGCAACCTACCTGAGTTCTGAGCCTGCTTTCTCATGATTATAGGGACAACAACATCTCCCAAATGGTCAATTTAGAAAAAACAAAACAAAAACCCTATGGTGAAAAATAATTTGAGAAATAATGGTGCTTATTACCCACTACGTCATTGGGTAAACATTAGTTGTCCTCCAGCCTTGTAAGCATGACTTTGGGAATCTGTTTAGCTGCCCTGAGGGTACATTCCCAAAGGCTGTGAAACCACCTGAATGCGGAAGTTTCATTATCCGAGGGACAGAACTGGATACAGAATAGGGACAGAACAGGATTCTGAGGAATAAGGCAAAAGGACCCTAGAACACATTTCTCTAGGAAAACTACTTGATTACAAGATAGCAAAGGCTTACCCCATCACACAAGAGAGGGTGAACTGCAGAAGAAAAAGGGTGTCCGCCCAGCCTTCAAAATCCATTGCCTGCAATATATGGCAAAGCATTCAGTTTTGTAACAAAATTAGCTGTCCCACTTGTTAATCAAAATCCTGTACTTGCTCCCAACACACACACACACACACACACACACACACATACATACATACATACACACACACACTCTTTTCCCTGCATCCCTCCAAGGACAGATGATGTTCAAGAATTTCATATATAAGGAGTTGAACCAATAAGCAGGTTCAAAAGGTTTTCTCCTTTTCAAAATGCAATGCGAGGGAGATTTTGTACTTCTCCCTATTGGTACAAAGAAACTGGCATTAGCTTGAAGGCACTAGCCGCACGAGGCAAATCTCAGTAGTTCTCCCAGGTGGCTGGTATGAAAGGCTTTCTCAAGCATTAAATCATGCTCCCTCCTTGTTACATGTAAAGCTCAAGTACAGCCTTAGCTGCACAAATTCAGCTGAGGTCTGTTCACAGAGAATTACTCTTTTAAAATAGTTATAGAAAAAGCAAGGCTTTTGCTGTTCTGTTCTTAAGCCAAAAGCAACAAAACGGAGAGACATGAATGGGCGCATTGATCATCTCATCTCTCATCCAAGAGGGAGGGTTTCTCTCTTACGTACATAATTTCTCTTGCAGTAGGAATTGGATAAGCAAATGTGAGACACGTTTTATCTTTTGCCTCTGCCAACCTGCCCAGCTTCTACTCTTGCCACTTTGACATAAATAATCTCACAGCTCCGGGGCGCCAGCAGTTTGGGCTCCTTGTGGTTTATGAAATGTCACCATGCAGTTTCACACTCACATGCCTTTGCCTGGAGTAGCCCTTTCCCTCCACACCCAGCTTCTGCCCACCCACCGCACTGAAGATCAAGCACCTCCTCTGCGGCACTTTCCCTACCCAAGAACGCCTTCCCCTGAGCCTCAGCAGACGGACTGCGCCACAGGGCTCTTCCCTCTGGCCTGTGTGTATCTACACCAACTCTACAGGCTGTGAGCCGCCTGGAGAGAGGATCCACATCACATCTATCTAATCATATTCCTAACAGCACTTGACAGACAGTAGACACTCAGTTTGTTTATAGTTCTTACTTTGTTGAGGCATAGCATACCAGAAAAAAAATGAACCAGTTATAAGTGTATAATTCAATGAATCTTGACAAATATACACTCAGTGGCCAGGTTATTATGATTTCTGAATGCATAATAACCTGGCCATTCAGTATATACCCTATATAATAAAAGACAAATATGCAAATTGTGCCAGGAGTGTAGGCTGGCCAACTGCCCATGTCTCCTCACCCTGACCAGGCTGGCTGGTCCTCACCCATGTATGAATTGGGACTCTAATACACATACACACACACACTCACTGAGTGACCAGATTATTATGCGTTCAAAGGTCATAATAATCTGGCCACTCAGTGTGTATAGTCATGTAATCACCATGACAATCATGATAAAGAAATTTCATCTCAAAATCATAAAACTCCTCAAAGAAAATATAAGAAGGAAAAAATGGTCCATGACCCTGGTCTTGATAACATTTTTTTGGATATGACACAAAAGCACAAACAAAAGCAAAAAATAAGAAAAAAATACATCAAACTAAATAGCTGCTGCACAGTAAAAGAAACCATCAACAGAATGAGAAGGCAACCTACTGAGTGGGGAAAATACTTGCAAGTCACGGGTCTGTTAAGAGGTTAATAACCAAAATCTGTAAGAAACTCATACAACTCGACAGCAAAAAATAAATAAATAAATAAATAAATAAATAAATAAATAAATAAATAAAATAACCCAATTAAAAAATGGACAGAGGAACTAAATAGACATTTTTTTCCAAGGAGGACAGATGAAAAGGTGCTAAACATCACTAATCATCAGGGAAATGCAAATAAAAACTACAGAGATAACACCTCACACCTGTTGGAATGGCCATTATCAAAAAGACAGGGTTGGAGAAAAGGGAACCCTTGTACACTGTTGGTAAAACGTAAATTGCTATAGCCTCGATGGAAAACAGTATGGGGGTTCCTAAAAAAATTAAAACTAGAACCACCATATGACCCAGCAATTCCACTTCTGGGTATTTATGTAAGGAATTAAAATCAGGATCTCAAAGAGATAAAATATGGAAAAATATTTTATATAAAATATAAAAAATGAAATATTATGTAACCACTAGAGGCCCAGTGCACAAAATTCGTGCACGGGCAGGGGAGTGGGGGAGTGTCCCTCAGCCCAGCCTTCATGCTCTCCAATCTGGGACCTCTCCGACTGCCCGGTGGGATCAGGCCTAAACAGGCAGTCAGACATCCCTCTCACAATCCAGGACTGCTAACTCCCAAATGCTCGCCTGCCTGCCTTCCTGATTGCCCCTAACCGCTTCTGCCTGCCAGCCTGATCATCCCCTAACCACTCCCCTGCCAGCCTGATGGATACCTAACTGCTCCCCTGCCACCCTGATTGCCCCTGCCTTTCCCTGCCAGCCTGGTCACCCCTAGCTGTCCTCCCCTGCAGGCCTGGAAGCCCCCAACTGCCCTCCCCTGCTGGCCTGGTTGCCCCTAACTGTCCTTCCCTGCTGGCCTGGTTGCACCCAACTGCCCCTCCCTTGCAGGTCTGGTCCCTCCCAACTGCCTTCCCCTGATGACCATCTTGTGTATTGAAGTGATGGTCAATTTTCATATTACCTCTTTATTATATAGGATGAGAAAAAAAGGAAATGCTGCCATTTGCAATAATAGAACCAGAACATGAGGGCATTATGCAAAGTGAGATAAGTCAGACAGAAAAAGACAAACACTTTATATGTTGAATCTAAAAAGGCCAAACTCAGAGAAACAGAGAGAATTACAGGGACTGGGGGGTAGGGAGATGTTGGCCACAGGGCACAAACTTCCAGTTATAAATTCTGAGGATCTAATGTACATCATGGTATTACAATTAACAATACTGTTTTTGTAGTTGAAAATTAATTAGTTAGTTAATTAAATAAGTAGTGTTCTAATTCTCACTCTGCCATTAACTTTCTGCAAGGCCATCATAAAATCACTATAACCTAAGTCTCTATCTATGTTACAAATATAGGAAGCAGACTCCTCCATTTGCTCTTAAGAGAATCAAATCAGAGAATGAAATGCAGACATTTCAAATGTATATAAATTTAGATATTATTGACTTAAAATTCCACCATTAGCCGAAACCAGTTTGGCTAAGTGGATAGAACATCGGGTGTGCGGACTAAAAGGTCCCAGGTTCAATTTCAGTCAAGGGCATGTACATTGGCTGCAGGCACATCCCCAGTAGGGGGTATGCAAGAGGCAGTGGTCGATGTTTCTCTCATCCACGTTTCTAGCTCTCTATCCCTCTTCCTTCCTCTCTGTGGAAAATCAATAAAATATATGAAAAAAACATATATATATTTTAAAAAATCCACCATTATCTCTCAATAGTAGATGTGCAAATTTTTCTTCTCCCTAAGACAGAAATCACAGTAAACCTGTACATTACTAACGAGGAGGAAAAAAACAAAACATTTAAAACAAAACTTGTGCCTCTAGAAAAGACAGAAGAAATGCCCGCTTGTTCAATCTGTGTGACACAGAACCAGATGGGCTCCTGCCACAAGGCCTGCAACCTTCGGCCCTGGCTGAGAGGGGGCTGTGATTACAGACCGGGTAGGAAAGATGCTTTCTCAGGCTCCGCTTCTGTTTTGGACGAACTCTCCGGTTCTAGGTGCTGGTGGTGTAAACTAACACCACAGGCCAAACCACAGGCATGAAAAGAATGTGGTGTAACCCATGGGCAAATGGTTGATATGGACTCCCTAAAACGAGGCATTTGTTTGAATGGGGCTTTTATTTAAATAAAAATACTTAGAAAAAAACATATAATGAAAAAAACAACAACAACAAAAAAAAAAACATGCCTTTTTAATTTGCTTCAATTAAGTGAGAAAGGGAATACCTAATAAGATTAGGCACTGAATACTACATAATCAATAATACAACCAATAAAATCAAGTCCAGGGAAACAACCAGACTTGTCTGATATACCAGCTCTAAAAGACTGATTCTGGCCGTCTGGACCACTGTCTGGTAAACAGCTGGAGGTTGTCTAGACTTTGCAAAAAGTGCTATGACTACGTGGCAATATCTGCAAGGAGTACAGGATAACAGGACCAGTTCACCACTCCTAATCCAGTGCAAAGCATGAAATAATTCCAACGTGCACTTTAGTCTAAGATGCAGCCATTCTCTCTCTCAGGAAAATTTGCTAAGAAAAGAGTCGCCAAATTACTTGAGACATGAAATAAATTCCAAATCATAACTGGGACATCTTAAGTGTTTTGATACCTCCCTACTTAGTATAAAGTCTAAAAATAATTAACCATTTAGTCTTTGGACTTCATGGTAAAGAAAAAATGTTGGCATATGATACAATTCTATTTTCAAAATTCTTTTCCCTAAAAAACTGTGTTTAAAAAAAAAAAAAAAAAAAAGGAAACCTTATCCCAGAAAGTAAGCTGCTAGGAACCTTTCTCAGACAGAAGATAATGTCCGTGAAGCCAATGACTGCATGGCTCCTTCCCACCTTGGGAAAGTCATCCTAGGGTACCTCTACGGTTCTCTGCACTACTCTGACCATTTGCCACAACTGCTCCTGCTCTCCCTCATGCTCCTAGCTCAGACAAGGAATTGGAACCCAGGTATCTCACTCCCTCTGCTCAGCAGGCTCTGCCACCTAAGGAAAACCTATGTACCATGGCAAAAGTAACTACATACTCCAGCTCACCAACAAGTCACTTTAAAAAAAAAAAAATAATAAAAAAAAAAAAATATATATATATATATATATATTATTGATTTTTTTTTATAGAGAGGAAGGGAGAGGGAGAGTTAGAAACATCGATGACAGAGAAACATTGATCAGCCGCCTCCTGCACACTCCCTACTGGGGATGTGCCCGCAACCAAGGTACATGCCTTTGACCAGAATCGAACCTGGGACCTTTCAGTCTG